TGCCGACTGGAGGAAGCACGGGAAGCGCCGAGGCTTCCTGGAGAAGCACCGTCTGCAGCTCACCCGAGGGCGTTCTGAAGTAGACCTGCCGGGAGGGGAGGAGAGGAATGAGAAGGACCAGCCACGCTCACCAGGCAGAGCTTCAGAGAATCAGGAAGGTTGGAAGGTACCTGGAAGATCAGCAAGTTCCTGCCATGAGCAGGGAACCCTCCCACTAGACCAGGCTGCACAAAACCTCGTCCAACCTGGCCTTAAAAACCTACAGGGATGGGGCACCAACAGCCTCCCTGGGCAACCCAGTTCCTTAAGTGAAGAGCTTCTTCCTAATATCTCACCTAAATCTCCCCTCTCTCAGTTTAAAACTATCACCCCTTGTCCTGTCATGGTCTCCCTCCCCACACAACTCAAGAATTTGGTGCCCAAGCATCTGAAGACCCTTGGTGGAGCTCCTGAAGAAGCTCCTGGCCTTGCATGGCAGCAAGGGGCTCCTCTGGCCTTGCAGCCTGGTTTCCAAAGGCACCACTAAGACACAGTGGCTGTGAATCCCCACTCCCCCACCTCCTCCATCTGAGCAGGGCAGACTGTCCCAACCCCAGTTGGTGGCACAGGACACTGCACTCCTAAAAAGCAGGTGGCCAGCAAAGGAGATGGAATAAAGCCCTGCAGAGGGAAGAGATGTGCTCCCAACCCTTCTTAAGGCATCAGAGAATCCACACAAGCGATGCCTAAACTGGACACCAAGCTGAGGATGTTTTTAATGCCTGAGTTAAGAGCTGGGAGGAGAAACAGGGCAGGAGGCAGTACCTGGGTGGGGGTGGGTTCCGTCGTCTGGATCTGGAAGTTCTGGGAGGGTTTCTGGGGGATGGTGGGGAGGGTGGCAGAGGCAGCCTGGACCACCCGCAGGGCCTGCTGTGGGATCTGCACCATCGGAGGTTCCTGCTTGGGCTGCACCACCTGGACCTGCTGCAGCACAGCTGGCTGGCCCGAGCCTGGGCTCTGCACGATCAGCAGGTTGTTGCCTGCCTGGATGATGTTCTCTGCCGTGGTCTCTATCAAGACGGTCTCCACCTGCTCGGCCACGGCCATGGCAGTGGGGTGGGCAGGGGACATGGCTTTCTTCCGAGGCTTTTTGTTGGGTTTTGAGGGGCTTTCTGTAAGGATCTGAGCCTGAGGGCCCTGCTCAGCGGGATTCACCAGGTTGTTCACAGGCAGGGTCAGAGTCACGTTGCTGCCACCAGTTAATTTGACCACGTTGCCTTGTGCTGGAGAAGCTCCAGCCTTCTGTGCTGGAGCTGGTTTGATGGGCACGGGCTTGTGAGAGGAAGAGGAAGGAGTGAGGATGGCTTGATTAGTGCCTGGAATAATCTGGATCTGGTTGGTGAGGTTGGGTTGGACCTGGATGGTTTGTCCCCCCACGGCCTGGAGCTGGGGCACTGCCTGGTACTGGATGTTGGTGGAGGAACGTGTCCCCTTGTTGATGACAGTTGGATTCTGAATGGCAAACACCAGCTGCCCCCCGGGGTAGGAGGTGCCAACCTGAGAGCCCTGGATCTGGAAGAGGTTTCCTTTCGACGACAGGATCCCAAAGCTGTTCTTACTGGAGCCCAGAGGGAGAGGAGCAGGTTTGATGGGAATGAGTTTCCGAGGTGTTGGCTGAGGAGGAGCAGGAGGAGCCACAGCAGCTTCCACAGCGGGGGGACCGATCTTGCTACACGTGGCTGCGAGGAGGGCGAGCGGGGAGGGCTGGGAGTCCTGGGGGGGAGAGGGGCAGGTTACACAGGGGCTTGTGCCAGACAGCTGGAGATCCAGCCAGCAAAGGAAAGGGTACAGAACCTCCAAAGGGTACAGAACCCCTCATTAAGAGAACTGCTTAATTACCCCTACCACGTGGGCCTCTCACTCACACTTTCAGCCATCAGGGCTGAATCATGTTCTTACAGCCTCTATCAAGCTGCAAACACCCCAGGAGTGTGTGGCCTTCCCAACCCGGAGAGTTTCAGGCAGTTCTAATTCCATGACCACCTTGTGGTATCAGCTTCTAACACAACCCAGGAGAAAATTAAGGAAAACACAGTGTGGGGAAGAGGACCAAGGCTTGGAAAAGTTGGGGCTGGGAATGAGTCTAGAGCACGGCTCTGTGACCTCCTCCTGACATGGCCACTCTGGCTGTGGTGAAGGCAGGAGGGGAGACAAAGGATGCAGCGTGTGCTGTCCCACACCCTGGGATGTGTCCCTGAGCCCCAGCAGGGGTTTGGGAGCCCCCCCTGTGCTCACCTGGGCAGTGGAGGCCGCGGGCTGCAGGTACTCGCTGGGGCTGACAGCAGCGGTGGCGGCCATGCTGGCTGGTGATCTGCAGGGAGGGAGCAGAGAGATGGAGAGGTCAGAGCAGCAGCAGCAGCTGAGACCACAGATCCACCACGTACAAGGCCCCAGAGCCCAAAGGATTCTCCTGGTTTCTCCCCAGAATGTCACAACTCACTCACATGCCTTCGGTGGGGGGTTGCAAAGGGGCTGGACAAACTTCATCACTTTCTTCCTGCACTTTCCTTTGCTACTGAAGGGAAATCCCAGAGTAACAGACTGCTTTGGGTGGGAAGGGACCTTCAAGATCATCCAGTTCCACCCCCCCTGCATGGGCAGGGACACCTCCCACCAGCCCCGGTTGGTCCAAGCCCCATCCAACCTGCCCTTCAACACTGCCAGGGATGGGGCAGCCACAGCTTCCCTGGGCAACCTGTTCCAGGCTCTCACCACCCTCACACTCAAGAATTTTCTCCTCATCTCCGCTTTCCAAGTTTTAAAACCTTGTACCGCAGCCCTGACACAGGTGAGCTGAGGGGAAGGTCTGGAGGAGGATGAGGAGCAGCACGATGAAGACACAAAGCCCTGGATGGCTTAAAACACATCATGCCAGCCCAAAATTCCCTGTCACCTAAGGACAGCGAGGGGCTCTTTGCTGCTCACAGGGTCCAGCACTGCAGCAGAGCTGGTCTCTGCCCGGGGCAGGTGAAGGGAAGATTTAGCAAAGACAGACCTGCCATTTAATGACCTCCTGCAGGAGATTCAGGGTTGGAATGGGAAAAGGAGGAGTGGGTTTGGTTTCGAAGGGAACAAACTCCACGCTCTGCAGCGCGGCTGGTGAGGGAGGTGAGAGGCAGCAGCCCAGGCTGGCTGAGGGCAACAGGACCAGCAGCCAACCTTGGGAAGGACAACCTGGAAGCATCGTTCACTGTGGCTGCAGAAACCTCAGCCAAGAAGCAGGATGCATTAGGAAAAGGAGGGATTTCCCTTGGACAGTGCCAGCTGGCAGGGACGGCACAGGACAGACACGCAGGGCTGCTTGTCACATCTTAACGGGGGGAGAAAAGTCCTGGGGAAGGGACCTGGAGATGCAGCCAAGGCTGGAGGGGAGCACCCCCAGCTACCCCTGGGCAGGTGTCCCCTCCCAAAGCCTGTCACCAAACAGAGCAGCTACCAAGGCACCAAGGTGCCCCTCCCCAGCACAGCCCATAAATCCCTGGGGAGAGTCAGGTGGGAGTTCCAGGATGGAATGCTGTGGAAATCACACACCCATGCCCTGGAAGCCACTGGATGTGGCCACCTCCTGGAGATGAGAGCACCAGACCTCACCCCCTGAGCTGCCTGCTGAGAAAAGGACCTTTTCCTTGCTGGAAAGTTGGGAGCTTATGCAGCCACCTGAGCACCCCCAGGGCTGCTCCCTCCTCCCTTTCAGCTGAATTTGGGAACTGCTGGGGATGAACAGCCCCGACTCCAAGTAAGAGCAAAGCTGAGCTGGACAGACAGACACATACCAGGAGAGGTGCCATGAGACCCAATAACTAAATAAGGATGATGGGGGGAGAAGCTGGAGTGGGTCTTGGGCTGGGATCCCTCTGGGAGCTCCTCACTTGAAGGGTTGATGTCTGAGTCCAGGAGTTTCCCACCCTGAGGGTGGAACATGTTCTGAACCTACTCACAGCTTCACTCTCCAGGTTTGCCCAGGATGGGGAGTAGGACAGTCACTGCCAGCTGTGAATGTCTCTGCATCTGCCCTGGGGGCTCTGGAGCCTGAGAGGCAGGAGCTCCCCTGGGGCAGCCCTCACAGCACCAGACCCTCCCCCAGCTTGGCGTTACACACTTCATTTACACCCCACCAAGAATGTGCTGAGCAGCTCAGGCCCAGTTCTGCCCCCTGAAAACCCTCAGCCAAGCCCTGAGAGGCAGAGGACTCTCCCTGAAGACAATTAACAACCACTGATTCATCAAACTCATTTTTCTCTGGCTACCTCCTCCTCCTCTGCTGGTCACAAGTGCAGTTTTGCATGGAAACATCTCCCTGCAGACTGGAAACAACAGCCTCTTCAGCCCTTGCCTGCCTTCAGAGAATCATGGAATGGTTTGGGTGGGAAGGGACCTTAAAGATCATCCAGATCCAACCCCCTGCATGGGCAGGGACACCTCCCAGCAGCCCAGGCTGCTCCAAGCCCCATCCAACCTGCCCTTCAACACTGCCAGGGATGGGGCAGCCACAGCTTCTCTGGGCAACCTGGGCCAGGCTCTCACCACCTTCACACTAAAGAATTTCCTCCTAATGACTCACCTCAATCTCCCCTCTTTCACTTTAAACCCATCACCTCTTGTCCCATCACTGCCTTCTCTGGTGAAAAGTCCCTCCCCATCTTTCCTGGGGCCCCTTCAGGTATTGGAAGGTGGCTCTAAGATCTCCCCAAAGCCTCCTTCAGGCTGAACACCCCCAACTCTATAAACCCACCCCTAGAAAAGCACAAAACAACCCAAAACTGAGCCCCCTTCCCTTTACTAAACCCCTCCACCCAGCACTGCCTCAGGGCACAGCCACCGAAAGCCACACCCAGCTCCCCCCTCCCCCCAGGAACTCCCAGAGCTCCCAGCACACGGGCAAAAAAACCCCAAAAGTCCAGAGGGCTGGAGCAAAGGAGCAGGAGGAAGAGAAAACTTACCAACCGCGCCGGGCCCCGGGAGCCCATGTCCAGCCCGAGGAACCTCCCGTCCCAGTCCCAGCCCTCCGGACCAGCACGATTGGTAGGTTTGCTCCCAGGAGGCTCCTTCTGGTGCTCACAACAATTGATTTACTTTGCAAACCAGGCCATTCTTTTCAATATTCTACGAGAGAGAGAAAAAGGGGAGAGAGGTGGGGTTGGGGGGGTGTGTGTATGTTTATTGAGTTTTGAAACCAAACGTCCCAAGCAGGACGAGCCCTTGTGCTCAGTTATCTGTGGCATCTGTGGCTTCCAGAGGGATGGAGGAGAATCATGGAATGGTTTGGGGTTGGATGGGACCTTCAAGATCATTTAGATCCAACCCCCCCTCCCCACACTGCATTTTTTCTGGAGATAGAAGAGGAGAATGTTCTGTGCTATGAGGGTGGTGGGAGCAGCAGAACAGGTTGCCCAGGAAGGTGGTGGAGGCTCCATCCCTGGAGACATTCCAGGTCTCTGAGCAACCTGGTCTAGTTGGAGATGTCCGTGCTGGTTATAGTGGGGTTCGACTAGATGATCTTTAGAGGTTCCCTCCAACCCAAGACATTCTGTGATTCTTTTGGAGGGGTCTGGAAAGTTCTCCTCTGGTTTAAACCACAATTTCAAGCCCTATCACCACAATATCCCTGTTCCCTTCTCACAGCTTCCCCCTGAGAGAGAGGAATTCACACCAATTCACAGACTGGCCACAAGGCACCAGTCCAGGTCTTTCCATTGCTCCCCAAAATTCCCTTCCCTGACAGATCCCCTTTGTGGGGGGGTGATCCTGATTCTAACTCCCAGCACTGAACCTGAAGTTTGATCCCAGTCCCCTCGGTTTTTAATTGGGGAAGGTGAATCAGAGTCCCCTCCAATCCATGAAAAACCTCAGCAACTGGGGAAAAAAATTCAAAATGCTCAGGATGAAGCTGATAACAGACAAAGGGGGGGGGAGGGAAAAAGAACCTGATGGTGGCAGCCACAGTTGTTTGTCAGGGCAGGTATTCAAAGTGGGGCACCAAGGAGCTCAAACACATTTACATGTGAACAGCAGGAAATCGGGCAGTGTCTGAGAATAAACCGGCTGGGATTTCTGTTGTTGTTGTTGTTGTTTGAACTCCCGGTCTGGCTCCTCCCC